CCGTAAGATATTTGATTCCTCCTTTGACATGGGTCAAAGGTGGGGTCAAAGTTAACATCACATCACAAATGTATTGGCAAAGCCATGACAGTTTTGACACACAGTTGATGCACGTCAAAGTTTGGATCAAAGCTATGATCATATTTGACCTTGACTTTGATCAGGATCAAATTTAGAGTAAATCCAATTTTTCGTACCGTGTGCTTTGCTGTTTGTAGAGGTTATCAAATCATTTTCAGGGCAATTTAGAATGAATAAATAAATAAGCACAAGGAAATTTTTCAAGGACTACAAATGTAGGGCGAGTGCAATTTGTAGTCTGGAAATTTTATTTATTCCAAAATGCAGCAGAAAAATCGTTTGATCTCTCGTTAATAAAATTCATGCAATTAAATTTAAACTTCTGCACTCAATTTCAACTTTAACTACTGTTTATACTTAATTAATGTGCTCTCAGCAGCATATTGAAGTTTTTGCAGGCATAATATTATCCACAAAACAGAAGTCTCTTGATTGCTTGCGTAGCTGATCGTGACATTGCTTAAAACAGCCAACCTTTTGGCTGCAGCAAGCTTGTCACATCGAGAGATGTTGTCCAGAACACTCCAAATACTTTTCTTATATTCTTTTGCTGGAATTGAATCTTTGTTGATATGTTCAACAGGATTTGTTGTGTCAGGACACACTGACCAGTTACAGGCCTCCATGTCTGTAAATGCAGTTGTGAACATTTCTATAGAGAAGCATAGAGTAACAGTTAATACTGGACTATAACCCTACCTAACCTGGGGAAGGATCGTGGAAGAAAAATAAATACGAAGATGAAGATGCACGCATAACTGTTATTACTATCAACAGCAAATAACTTTCAATTATAACTTATAGCATTAACTCAAAGGCGTTTGTGGCATCATGGGGAATTTGAAGAAAATAAAATGAACTTACTCAAGTGCTCCTCCCTTGTCCATCACCTTTTCCAATTGTGCAGCTTTTTCCAGTTATCATTCTCTAGGTCTCTCATGTCATCTGGAAGAAGGTGTTTTACAGTTGTGATGTTCAGATCTCCGGCAAGTACATTCAAGATTTTGTAAACGTCATTCTTTGCATTGGACATGGCAACTTTATATGCCAGCAGACAGAAACCTCTTATAGATGAAGCTGTGTCGCACACTCCGGTACTAACTTTCATTACTGACCTCTTCCCATGTGGCTGCCAAAACAATTTTCAATGTATCACTTCAAAATTGCATTTTTCGTCCGTTTTGGTGTTTAATGCGTTGCAGAAGAGGCTAAATAGCTGAAGTACTTCAACTATAACAGTGGAAGGGCCTCCGATAATTTAGTATTTTATGTCATTTTTGGTTAGCAATTGTTTCTGAGGATGTTCTTGAACAGACACTCCACCATAGTATGGTAGTTTTCATCTTCATTTGCACCATTACTTTCCCCTAGGACTAAACATGGAGTTAAATAATTCTAAGACTNAGTATAGTAGTAATTTTCATCTTCATTTGCACCATTACTTTCCCCTAGGACTAAACATGGAGTTAAATAATTCTAAGACTAATTTGAAATATGTACCTTGCAACCTCTAAGTATCTTGTCTGCAAAATCTCGACCAAGAACATCCTGAAGGCCTTCTGCTTTGGCATCTGGAAAATCAGCAGTGATGCCTAAGAGCTCTTTGCCATTGTCAAATGCTGGGCATTGCCTTGTCGTTCCTTGAAAGATGTGTGTGAATGTTGCCGCATGTGCTTGAGAGGTCTGCCTGATCGAAAGAACATGTGCTACAGCGACCCCTATTAATTAAACATAACAAACGTTTTTACATATTAAAATATTAACTCCCCAATAATCTCAACAAGACAATTAAACTTTCAATTTTATGCTTAAACCAAACCAAACATAGAATTACCCTCACCATTCATAAAATAAACACATGAAAGAACAGTAGCTTTGATATGATACACTAAACATTTTTTATAAAGCAAAAAATGGAACAACTAATGTAAGTCACGGACAAACTGGTATGCTTCACAGCCTATACTCACATTCTAATATGAGATAGTCCAACGCAACTATGTTCAGCAGGTACGGGAAGAGATCATTTTGAGTAAATGTTATGTTGATGTTCAAGAACTCTGATTGACCCATAATTTCTACCTGGGTAAGGATTCTGAAAGAAGGCATATTTTTTGTCACCCATCAATAGATAAGGTAAGTCAGACATCGGTTAGGGATTTGACAAACTTGCGAGTTCCTGCGAGTTTCCTGTAAAAAAATATGTAAAAGAGGTTTTAGCACAAAATGTTTACACCATTTTACTTTGGCTAAAGAAGAATTGTTTAATGTGCACCACAAAACTAAGGACAATCGATTCCAGCAACCTTTTTGCAATGTTAGTAATCACTACAACACTTCACCAAGATCTCATTTATTGTACACGATTTGTGTCATTTTTGTCAAAAATTGGTCTGGTTAGAGGGGCCACATACCTCCTTTTGTGTCATTGTAAACTCACTGCCTTATTTCCTTTTCAAAATTGAGGATTGGCGAAAGGCTTTTGGGTAGGCCAAGTAATCCACCGGATGCTTCCATCGCGCTACCTCTGACCTCTCTCACTTTTGAAATGTTCATCGCCACCACTGACAAAAATTCGTTTTTGTACCATCATCATTGTCATTGTCATCGTATCATCATCAAAATCATCATTATAATTTTAATCAATATTCTCAATGTTATTTTTTTTTTAATTTTATTTGTTATCTGCATGTGCTTACAGGTACAGTATTTACATTGTTACAAGTGCTAATTATTGTGTATAGGTAATATAAGTGTGA